ACACGTCTTTGGTAAATACATACAATTACTAACTGCCATCAGAAGCTCAAATATCCATTGTTTATTCCAAAAGGCACATCTCCATCACAATCTCTGAACCAATTTCACTGAAAAGCATTATTACCTCATTGGCTGCAAAGTACTATGGGACATACAGAAGCAGTAAAATACACTAATTATACTCTCTCCCCTTCCGCTTTTTATACTGAACATGATACAAAACGTGTCTCAGTTGAATATTACCCTGGATGCCATCTCTGAAGACATTAGCACATTGTACACCTGTCAAAAGATACGTAGACTAAAACAATGCTGATTTGCTTGATTTTTTTTCCCTCTATCTGCTATGATATACTATCTGCATTTAGGTGTGTGGGTTTGTGTAAGAGCTTCATTCAGCAGATGGTCATTTGTCCAGGTACGTGGGGACCAATTCTCCTGTATGAACCTTGACAAGAAACAGAATTTAACAGTCCTGTGCAACTGTAAGGACATGAACCTCACCAAAGCCAAATCTGCGGTCAAGATAAAAATTACAATGTCAATGTCAAACAAGGTGCAAATTTTATTCACTTCAGGCTAGATGCTGAGGCATTTGGAAATTTTCAGTCTATCATCCAATTTTGCATGAAGGAGGTAACTAACATTTGTCATACATTCAGAATGTAAATACTTCTTAGTGAAGCAAGTAGAATTAACATGCGACATTGTCAAAATTACAGGCTTCGCCAGTAATCATCCACTGATTCTACGTAGGTAGTTAAGATGCAGTATATGCAAATTGGTGTCTGGAACAGAAAAGATTCCACTTCCTAAATACCCATTGTCACACAACAGTTGGAAATTGAATCATGCAGGTCAATGCCTCCAACACCAACACGATGCCTCCATCCTGTGACAGGTCACTCTTCAATTGTATTTGATGTTTCAAGGATTATCTGCTGGCTATTAAGACTAGATCAGAAATCAGTCTTTTTGGACTGGGCAATAAAGTTTAAAGATAAATTTAAAAGTGCTAACTGGAAAATTTTTTTTACTCAAAGGGTGTTTAAAAACTTGGAATAAATCTGTAACACAAGACAAGACTGCTAAATACGTGAATGTTCAAAATTCAGTTTTTGTGCGTGTCTCTCCTTTATGCACCTATTAACAAAAGGGAATTTAAGACTGACATACTTTATGCTCATGGATTATCCTCTACAAATCACAATAGTTCACTTTACGATAGTTATTCATGCATTCTTCATGAACAATGCTAGCAGTCTGACCTTCATTTAAAAAAAACAAAGAAATGTTCAGCATTTCTGTTAGTCATGCAACAACAACCAGTGAACACTTCCCCCGCAACCGAAACACATCTGTACGCATAGAAACCCAACTCCCCTATTTCCAAAACTCACTAGGGCTGGTGAGCATGATTTTCTAACTCAGTGCAAATGAAAACGAAACATATTCTTTTCACTGTTGACAACATAATCGCATACTTGCTAGAATGTAGCCTTTGTTTCACAAGTGAATGCTAGCTCATTGCAATGCAAATCATAGGCTGGTTGCTGTATTGAGATTAATTTTAAATTGTGCCTCCAAAAATCTGACTGTGGGTGTATAAAGAAGTCATAAATAAAGAGATGCAAAACTAGGCCAATGTTTTTTCCCCCCTCAAACTGGTAACTGGTACATTCACAGACAGACAATTTTAGAATGTATTTAACCAAGATACAAAATGGTTGTTTCAAGAACAGTGACACACCATACTGAAGAGATGTACTGTGATTTTAAGAGGATTTAAAAAAAACCCAAGAAATTAAGAGACTGATAGTGCAGGTTTTCACTACAGTGCCCCTGTTTTCCCAGTCAATACCTAAGTTATGCAGCTCAATATTAATTAAACATGATATTCAACCCATTTCTTTCCTTTCCCAAGGACCAGTGCACAACTTAAATTGCCTAATACCAAACAAATTTTTGCAGTATCCAATAGGAGAGAAATTGAAAAAGCAGAAGGTCTATAATTATCAACGCTGATGTTCCAGTAACTTCTGGACCAAGCTGCTTCTATCTGGCACACTGTTGCTTTTTTGGAGGCTTCAATAAAAATCAATACTTAGACAATTCCCATGCAAGAAGAGAGTCAGAGAGTCATACAGCACAGAAACAGACCCTTCAGTCCAACTAGCCCATGCCAACCAAGTTCCCCAACTAAACTAGTCCCATTTTCCTGCATTTGGCCCATATCCCTCCAAGCCTTTCCTATTCATGTACCTATCCAAATGCCTTTTAAATGTTGTAACTGTGCCTGCATCTGCCAGTTCATTCCACATGCCAACCACCAACTGCGTGAAAAAGTTTCCACTCAGGACCCTTTTAAATCTTTCTCCTTAAAAATATGCCCTCTAGTTTTGAACTCCCTTATTGTTGGGCAAAGACTTTTGCTATTCACCTTATCTACAGCCCTCACGATTTTATAAACCCCTATATGGTTACCCCTCAACCTCCTACACTCCAGGGGAGGATGTCCCAGCTCATTCTTTAACTCAAACCTTCCAGTCCCAACAACATTGCTGTAAATCTTTTCTGAACCCCCTCCAATTTACTAAAATCCAGTGGTTAGCACTGCTGCCTCAGCACCAGGGACCCAGGTTCGATTCCACCCTCGGCCGACTGTGTGGAGTTTGCACTCTCCCCCTGTCAGCGGGGTTTCCTCCAGCTGCTCTGGTTTCCTCCCACAGTCCAAAGATGTGCAGGCTAGGTGGATTGGTCATGCTAAATTGCCCATAGTATTCAGGCATGTGTAGATTAGGCGGGGACGGGTGTGGGTGGGATGCTCTTGGTGTGGACTTTTTGGGCCAAAGGGCCTGTTTCCACACTGTAGGGATTCTATGATCTACTCCAGAAGAGGCCTTACCAACATCCTATACAAACACAACATGATCTCCCAACTCCTATACTCAAACGATCTGAGCAATGAAGTCAAGCATGCTAAATGCATTCCGAATCACCCGGTCTACCTGTGATGCAACTTTCAAAGAACTATGTACTTAAACCCCTTTGAAAACACTACCAAGGACCCTACCATTAACTACACAAGTCCTGCCCTTGCTCATCTTATCAAAACGCAACACTTTACATTTATCTAAATTAAGGTCCATCTGCCACTCCTCAGCCCATTAGCCTAATTGATCAAGATCCTGTTCTACACTTCGATAACCTCCTTCACTGTCCACTATACCGCCAATTTGGTGTCATCCGCAAGCTTATGATCATGCTTCCTATATTCTCATCCAAATTGTTGAATAAATGACAAAACAGTGGACCCAGCATCGATCCCTGTGGGAACAATGGACTCCAGTCTGAAAATCAACCCTCTGTCTCCTACTGTCAAATCAATTTTGTATCCAATTGGGAAGCTCACCCCGAATCCCATTGATCTAACTTTACTAACCAGTCTACCATGTGAAACCTGGTCAAAGGCTTTACTGAAGTCCAAGTAAACAACATACCGCTCTGCCCTCATCTATCTTTTTGGTCACATCAGGTTTGTCAGACACAACTTCCCATGCACAAAGCGATTCTGACTGTCCCTAATCAGTCCTTGCCTCTCCAAATGCATGTAAATCCTATCTGTCAGAATCCCCTCCAACATCTTATCCATCACTGACATTAAGCTCACCTGTCTAGAGTTCCCAGGCTTCTCTTTACAGCCTTTGAATAAAGGTACAACATTGGTCACCTTCCAGTCCTCTGACACCTCACCTGTGGCTGTAGATGATACAAATATCTCTGCAAGGGGCCCCCACAATTTCTTCCCTAACTTCCCACAACGTCCCAGGATACACTTCATTAGGTCCCTAGATTTACCCACCTTTACACGTTTTAAGGCCTCCAGCACTTCCTCATCTGTAATGTGGATTGTTCAAGGCATCAGTATCTATTTCACCAAGCTCCCTAGCCTCCATGTCTTTCTCCACAGTAAATGCTGACACGAAAAATTAGTTTAGTATCTCTCCCATCTCTCGTGGTTCCACACATAGAAGACTGGTAGATCTT